CAGTATATATAATATATGTATGTACTGTCCGTTTTTTATTGCTGTTTGTGTCCCCGGTAGGGAGATTCACTCTCCCTATTTGTCCTGGTGAATATTATCAGCGAAAGTAAAAGCAAATCACAAATTTTGGGTTGTCACCCAAACAAGAACAGATGGGAAATCTTCCATTGGGGACACTAGGTCTGGTCACTATGAAAGAGCCCTGGGGCCATGCTAAAAGAAATCTGAAACATAATTCTGTGTTTAAATGTCAGAATTCTGACTTTTAATCTCAGAATTCTGTTTTAAAAATTCTGAGTTTGAAACTCAGAATTCTGACATTTAAACACAGAATTATATTTCATATTTTTTTTAGCATGGCCCCAGGGCTCTTCCGTACTTCCGTACCCCGATGGGACACAGATGGCAAAAAAAAAAAAAGCTGACAGGAGTTATAATAACCGTCCCTTACTCTATCCAAGACTAAAGAGAAAGGTTTTGGCTTCTCTTCTGTAACTTTATTATACTGTAAATACTTGTGGTCACATAAACAATGCACAATAGCTCCTACCTGTAAATGATATTTTGAGAGTGCAAGTAGCCAATAGCACTAGCCACCTCCGCAGAATAAAAGCGGGCCCGGGGTTCCAGGAAGGAGCGCTCTCTTTGTAAGTGGAAGAAAAGCTATAAAGAGAATAAACACCAAGACAATGTGTGCCGGTATACACAAGTACTTCACCTTTTCTCAGTCACGGCACCCTTTAAGGACACAGTCACGCCGGTGCGGTGCACTTATTGTGGATCTACACTTTAAGGTGGTTCTGCTTATATGACAGCCATGATAAATATGCTTTGTCCACCTGCCAACCCCTATACAATCTATCTCTGCCGCAGAGCGATCACACTTCTACACCATGAGCGGGATTAAATTCCCATAACATTTATCAGACTTCCACAAATTGCTGAACGTGCAGATTAATCATCGCTATCTTAGTCAGCATCCACCTTGTTTATAAACAGTCAAATGACTGTACAGTGTACATGAGGGGACGAGGCTGATGACACAGCACTGGGCTCACCAGACAGAATGTTCTTTGCACAGAAGACTCAGGTCCCAGGGGGAGAGAACATGGTGTCTGGAGGTCTTTACTGACTGGGGGCATTCACTGATCAGGGGTCCTTATTAATTGGGGTCCTCACTGATCGGGGATCTTTATTAATTGGGGCCTTCACTGATCGGGGGTTATTATTGATTGGGGGTCTCCACTGGCTGGGAATATGTAACATGCACTTCATCTGAATTCTAGCACAGGAGACTTAGGTTCCATCATGGGGTCAGGAGTCTTCACTGATTGGGGGCTTTAATAATTGGGGATCTTTACTGATTGGAAATATGTAGCATGCACTTCATCTGAATTCTAGCACAGATGACTCAGGTTGCAGGGAAAGAACATCATGCTGTCAGAGGGGTTTTATTGATTGGGGGTCTTCACTGACTTGGGGTCTTTATTATTTGGGGGTCTTTACTGATCGGGAATATGTAACATGCACAGCAACTAACTTCTTGCATAGAAGACTTGGGTTCCACAGAGAGAACACCATTGTGTTAGGGGGTCTTCATTGATTGGGGGTCTTTATTGATTTGGGGGCTTCACTGATTGGGGGCTTTATTGATTGGGGATCTTCATTGATTGGGAATATGTAACATGCACATTATCTAAATTCTAGAACAGATGACTTGGGTTGCAGGGAGAGAACACCATGGTGTCAGGAGGTCGTCACTGACTTGGGGTCTTTATTAATTGGGGGTCTTCGCTGACTTGGGGTCTTTATTAATTGGGAATATATAACATGCACAGCAACTAAATTCTTGCACAGAAGACTCGGGTTCCAGGGAGAGAACACCATGGTTCCAGGGGGTCTTTATTGTTTAGGATTATGTAGCATGCACATCAACTGAATTCTTGCATGGAACACTCAGGTTCCAGGGAGAGAACACCGTGGTGTCAGGAGTTCCTCACTGATATTGATTTATTGACTAGGGGTCTTTACTGATTGGGGCTTTATTGATTGGGAGTTTTTACTGATCGAGAATATGTAACATGCAGGTCAACTAAATTCTAGCACAGAAGACTCCAGTTCCAGGCAGAGAACACCTTGTCAGGAGGTCTTCACTGATCAGGGGTCTTTAACTATTGGGGTCTTCCCTGATAGGGATTGGTAATATGTAAAATGCACATCAACAGAATTCTAGCACAGAAGACTCGGGTTCCAGGGATAGAGCACCATGGTGTTAGGGTGTCTGTACTGACTGGGGATGGTCACTGATTGGGGGCTTTATTGATTGAGGGTCTTCACCAATTGGGAATAAGTAAAATGCACATCATTTGAATTCTAGCACAGAGGGCTTGGGTTCCACGGAGAGAACACCATTGTGTCAGGAGGTCTTTACTGACTGGGGATGGTCACTGATTGGGGGCTTTATTGATTGAGGGTCTTCACCAATTGGGAATAAGTAAAATGCACATCATCTGAATTCTAGCACAGAAGACTCCGGTTGCAGGTGGAGAATACCATTTTGTCAGGGGCTCTTTATTGATTGGGAATATGTAATATACACATCAACTGAATTCTAGGACAGACGACTCAGGTTCCAGGGGGAGAACACCGTTGTGTCAGGAGCTCTTTATTAATTGGGGGTCTTCACTGATTGGGAATAAGTAACACGCACATCAACTGAATACTAGCATTGTCGACTTGGGTTCCAGGGAGAGAACACCATGGTGTCAGATGGTCTTCACTGATTGGGGTCTTTATTGATTGGGGCTCTTCACTGATTGGGAATATGTAGCAAGCACATCAACTAAATTCTAGCACAGAAGAAAAGCGTTCATTGTATGTGACCTGTTTCTGGCCTCCTAGATCTGCTTACCTAGGCTGAAGCATTCCTCATGAATATCACATTGTGAGAGCTACAGACGATTTTCTCTGTGTTCTAAATAATTATATACTGTATGGAGGAATCTCTGTCTGTATAGGGCTATTGTATGTTTACATACAATAGACCTTTTCTTGCCTTGTTGTAGGAAGTGACGATATCTAAACTCGAGAACGTATTATAGTACAGCTTACTTAGATGTGCTGGCTGCATTTGTTTTCTTTTTTTCCAGGCTAAGTACATTTTCAGCAAGGTACAGATAAATTCCTATTGATCCTGCCAGACTTCCAGTGTCCTTGTAACTTTCTGAGCACTGAACTGATATCTCAAACAATGGTATTAGCTTTCCCGGGTGAACTATAGAACACCTCCCTATATAACGAAGATTAAGAGCAGCGGCCAAGATGGATCCAGACAATATTGTGGGGATCCCTCTCAGCTGTGGTATGGCTCTGTGCTGTGTATGTTTGCAGTTGAAATCAGAACAGCTGAGGGTGGCAAAGTTGCTCTTCCATAGATACAATATGGTGAGTGAGTGTTGTCACTCTAGGAGAATTTTTTAGGTGGTTTAACTCCCTGGCATCTGTCAAACAATAAAATATCAGTTTTCCATTGACTGACACTTTGGGGCTGATTTATTAAGGATTTGCCCAGCATATAGCTGGCCGAATGCTGTTCAAAAGCCATTCCTGCCACTAGATGGAGCCGAGGAGCATAGGATTTTCTGTGCATCTTGGCTCCATCTAGTGGCAGTAATGCTGGGTGAACCCTTTATAAATCAGACCCATAAACCACAATGGAACTCAGTTAATGCACATTGTGGTGCTATTCACTATAAACTGCACCCCAACGACTACAATTGTGGCCAACGCACTCTCACTGCAACACACCATAACACACATGCCAAGCTATGAGTTTATGCACGTTCCAAGAGGACCTGTCCTTTCATATAACGGCCATTTGCCAGCTATGTAGGAATAAGGTATGAAGTTATTGCGGCCTCACCTCTCCTCCATTGACGTAGTCCAGGACAAAGTAGAGTTTTTCTGCAGTTTGGAAGGAATAGTGCAGGCCCACGAGGAAGGGATGTTTCAAGTTCTTAAGCAGGACGTTCCTTTCAGCCATAATGTGAGATTGCTGGGAATAAAACCAGCATACTGTTATAAATAACACATCCACAACTCTGCCCCCGCATATATCTCAGACCTTGTCTCAAAGTATTACCCTAACCGTCCCCTCTGCTCATCCATTGACCTCCTGCTTTCCAGCTCCCTTGTCCACTCCTCCCATACTCGCCTCCAGGACTTCTCTAGAGTCTCTCCCATCCTCTGGAACTATTTACCCCAACCTGTCCGTCTATCTCCCACCTTGACTGCCTTTAGGCGTTCCCTAAAGACTCATCTCTTCAGGGAAGCCTATCCCACCTCAACCTAACCACTGAACCTTCACATTCTCAAATAATTCATTCCCACACAGCTCCCTCCTTATGTATCACTTCCCCCTCCCTTTTAGATTGTAAGCCCTCAGGGGCAGGGCCCTCCTTACCATCTTGAATTGTATTGTGATTGTAATGTCTTCCTTATATTGTAAAGCGCTGCGCAAACTGTTGGCGCTATATAAATCCTGTATAATAATAATAATAATAAATAAATACTGTCCTTACAAGATAAACCGCACATAGCTGCCTATAGGGCAAGTCATAGCAACGTGCCCTGTAGGTAATCAATCTCACCTCTTTCTTCTTCAGAATGGTCTTCTTCTGCAGAACCTTCACTGCGTAGAACTTACTATCACTTTTGCGCTTTGCCAGGATGACCTATAGGAAAGAAAATTCATTAGAGTTTGTAAGATGTATACTTCTACGTTTATACAGGCATGCTGTTAAATAGACGTGTCTGGCAACAATGAACAACTGCTCCTTAACGCTACAGCTTGAATTAGAATTTACGGGGTCTGATTTATAGAGGGTTCACTCAGCATTACTGCCACTAGATGGAGCCAAGGAGCATAGAAAGTCCTGTGCTCCACGGTTCCATCTAGCAGCAGTAATGGCGTTTGAACAGCATGGAGATCTCACTGACTGAGTAGCAATCACATATATGAAGGCAGAGGCTGACTTAGGTGGCCATATACTATGGGGAACCTCTAGGAAATTCCTATACTCATCAGCACAATCTAGGGGTGCTAGTGCTGTGCGAACGGCATCCAACTGGCTATATGCCAGGCCAAAAGTTTACTTGGCAGCACCATCCAGGCAAATGTTTATAAATGAACCGCTATGTGGGGGTGAATGAGAAAAAACACTTGATTTCCCCCCAAAACAGCACGGATGGGGGAAACTTCCCAGCCAGGCTTTTGTATTCTGAGAACCGCCACAGTTACTGTTCAACAATTTTCTGCCCAGCAACTTCGACAAACATCAGATCAGCTGAAATTCTAACAGTCTGCGGCCAGCTTCAGTCCCCCGGGCTCCACTTATAATGAAAACATTACTGTCAGTGGACTAATAGTACATAGTTATTGTCACTCAAGTTTCCTTGTGTATTACACACCATTGCAAAAGCTAAAAACGGCATATGATTGTTTCAAGCAAATGGAGACTCAGATGCAGGAAGCTTTCCCAGTGCCTAGAAAATCCTCAGAAGCACCCTCTGCTCATAGTCATTCATATTCATAGATATTTATAGGTGCCTGCTTGATAACAACTCTAAGCCAGTAGCTATACAGCTGTAACTATTCACAGAGGAAGTTTACATTGTGTATATATATTGTAGTGAGTCGTGGCATAAAAGCATCAGGTGAGGGGTATCAAAATGCAATGATATCTTAAAGGGAAAGTATGATGCATTTTCGGTGAACTAATACTATGAATTATTGTTGCAAAGTTTACCTTAAAGGAGTTGTAAAGTTCCAGCATATACAATCAATGTAACATTATCATTGCTTGCTGGAAGTAATGCATGATGGCTATGTAGTCTTGAGAAATGGAGATTGTATCACATCAAACAGCAGGGAAAAGATGCAAAGCAAAACATATATTGAATTTCCATAAGTTCTATCCCACTCCTAATATCCATCTAGAAGTTTGTAAATTGACTTGGTAATGATGTCCATAATATGCACTGACACAGCTTTACTCAGCCCTGTGAATGTGCTTCCTCGTGTCACCGCTCTAACTAAGCCCCCAGTCTGAACTACAACTCAACGTCTGAACACTGTAACATTATCACTGCTTCCTGAATGCAATGTATTATGGGATATGTAGTCTTAAGAAATGGAGATTGCATTACATCTAGTAGCAGGGAAAGAGATGCAAAGCACACTGGGAATCCAGGACGTTGTTGGGCAGACAGAAGGCAGCACTCACTACATAAAAGGGATTTTTTCAAGTAAGCTTGATTGCATTCCTGTCCCACGGTGTCTGCATGCGGGTGCACGCGTCCATATACTTACCTTGTGTCTCTCTTCATCTCCCGGCCGAAAATGTGAACTGCGCATGCGTCCGCCCCAAGATGTTTTGCGGCCGCCTGAGAATTTTCAAATTTTCGGACGGGAAAGCGCGGGGGAAGACACAGGTAAGTTTAAACCGCTTTTCAAGCATTTTTTTTTACACTTTTCGCATATATCTACTGCTTGCTAGTAGTAGATATATACAAAAACACAGGAGGGTTTAATAACCCTTTAAGTGTTACTGCAGCTTGATTAATCAAAGCCTATGTGTCTAAAAAACAGTAATTGTTATTTCTTACAGATTGTAAAATATGCAAAACGCAGATATTTAGGAGCATTTGAAGCGTATAACTGAAAAAAAGTTCTGCTCATACAGAGTGATAAAGGAGCCCCCTCATCCCCTAGGAATGTCCTGCCAAGTCAGCTCTAGATTATAAGATTAGCGGCAAACTTTGAGTCCTTGGCAGCACCGGTTGGAATTCTCACAGCGGTGCACCATAATTCAGACTTCGTTAACCCCCAGCACCGTGCTAGATGCAATCCGCTGAATACAAAAGGCGGACAGAAGAAGGATTAACAGTTGTTTTACATGTTGGCCCTTATGTCATCACACAGGGCAAAGAGCAATCATTTAAAGTAAATTATAGCAGCCAATTAAAAGCCACATTTCAGCAATGCAGTCAGACCAGTGATGGCTTTTACATTGGTGGACATACAAGGCATCCTACAGGTAAAAAAATACATTTGGGCGCTTGGCTTGTTATGGGTTGCTTCATGCATTGCCCTATTTCTTATTCAGTAAAGGATTGAATATTTTTAAATCTTCACATATTAAAACTAGATATAAACCTTGTTATTGAGGTTACTGGATCATAGGTGAATCTGCTGAGCAAGGGTGTCCCCAGCCCTTTGGCTGCCTGAGGCAGCACTAGGGGGTGTAGGGGGGTTTGGTGGGCTCTGGCTTCGGCTCTGATTATCGGCCCACACAGCTCCTAGGAACCAGTGATGTCACTTGTTGCCAGGAGCTGGGAGGGACACCGGGCAGAGCATCCCACTCAGCTCCTGGCAACTAGTGACATCACTGGTTGCCAAGAACTGAGCGGGATGCCAGCCAGACCTTCCCAGGAGGCGGGGGGGGGGGGGGGGGGCGCGCCGCCCCCTTTCCTGCCCTGGCAGGCCTGTGCTTGGATCAAGGGTCTGGT